CAATATGCAAGAGTAAAACTTCATTTTGAGCTATTATGCAATCACCTCTATATACACTATGGAAGCACGCATACACCAGGACAAAATTTTTTTTTGAAATAAAATTAAAATATGTTATAATAGACGTTTGGTTTTTAGTATATAGTTTGTTTTTTTCTAATTCCAAGATGGCAAACTCCTCTCCCAAAAGGAGTACTTCTGGGGACAAGGGGAGGGATTTCTGGTGGCACAGGTCAGGGATTAGGGATGGGACTTCGAGTCCCAAGACTGCAACCAAGGGGCAGGGCACCTGTCGGGGGCAAGGCTACCCTTGCGGCCCTCAACAGCTAACCAAAACTTGTTAAGCAGTCCTCCAGCTGAGATAATTGCCCACCCCTGGATAAAGGGAAGCAGCTGGAGAGGTGGATTGAACACTATGGAATGATATACTCAAAGGAGTCTGTAGTAGACCAGCCTGTGCTAGATGAATTGCCTGGGTTTGAAGCTATTTCTTCACTGGATGCCAAACCTACACCAAAGGAACTTGAACAATGCATCAAAAAGATTCCTAATAACAAAGCTTCAGGATCTGACTTTACCTGCTGAAATTTGGGAATGTGCAAACAAAGACTTGCTGCAAAGATTGCATGAGGTACTCCTACTCCGATAGGCAGAAACTGTGCCCCAAGATTTCAAGGATGCTCGTTTCATCCAACTTTATAAAAACAAAGGAGACAAGTGACTTTAATAACCACAGAGGTATCTCTCTTCTCAACGTCATGGGAAAAATCTTAAGCTGTATTCTTTTACCTAGGCTACAGACATTAGCTGAGAGAATGTGTCCTGAGAGCCAGGGTGGCTTCTGTTTGGAAAGGTCCATCGTAGATACGGTCTCCTGTGTAAGACAATTACAGAAAAAGTGCAGAGGAAGCGTATCCCACTATACGTGGCTTTTATGGATTTAACAAAAGCTTTTGACACTGTTAGTCGGTCAGGGGTGTACCCGATTCTGGAGATATGTCTGGTTTTGCCAGGCTTGAGAGTCTGAGCCCTCTAAAAACCTGTGCTTGTAGGCTGACAGCTTGGCCTTAGCATGCACACACATCTGTGAGCCGTCCTCCTGTTCTTTCCTGCCATGTCCTGAGTTTACTGAGTAAACAGAAGGCTCCTGGTGGTAATGGGGCTCTGTGTGTGGGGAAGATGGATGCTCTTTACAGGGCTCCTGCCTTCCCTTCACCCTGCCCACATGCCAGTCCAGATGTTTTAAGGCCTCAGAGGTGATCTTAGGTGAAAAGGGAAAAGAAAAGAACTTGTGTGCTTGACACTGGGTCAGGGGCCAGCCAGGTGGTCCTTCAGTCCTGGTTTCAAGTCTCAGGGTCTTCAGCTCACAGCTGCCCTGCTGACTTGCGTCACAGCTTGCTAATTAACAGTCCTCACACTACATGAAAAAATCCTGTTGGCCTCTAGATCAGGCTCAATGGTCCCTCAGGCAGTTTGCTAGCAATTCATCAGCTCAGTTCCACCAGGCAATTAGTACTCAATGCTGTCACCAGCTTAACTCAAGATCAACAAGGAAAATAAGGAGAAATAAATCAGTTGGAGTCTCACAGGCTCCATGACTCACATGCTGGCCCCATTGAGGGACTACCGGGGCCTCTTCACTCCTTAGTATTGCACCCCTCACAGAGGAATCACTGTTGGCTTCTCACAACTCTGGGCACTAGGTGTCAGGTGCTCCTCCGAGCT